AATTAATTGCATCTTTTAAAGATAACATTTTAATAGTATCTAACATATCTTTTTTCCAGCGATTAATGTCAAGAGGCTCTTTTTGTAATATAATTTTGTGATTTTAAATATATATTGGTCCATTGGCTGAATTAATGACATTGGTAGCAAAAACATTGACAAATTGAAAGCAAAATTTGTTTTAAATATATCAGTTCATCATTTATTTTAAATGTATACCTCCTTATCAAAACATTGATTAAACCAATCATAAAAAATAGTACTTGTCATCCATGATGTCTTAAATAATTTATAATTCACTGGACATGTAAAATTTTTGAAGCATTCTTAGATTTTCCAATTACCAGTAGTTTAAGTTTGTATGTTCCCGTCGCATTCAAACAGCCCATGAAAGTTAATCGCTGTTTCTCTATCTTTGCTCCTGTAGCACTTTTCTCCAATGATAATACGTATGCTTTATCTGGCAGCTGCTTCCATTACAAACTCGTCAGCATTATAAAGTTGGTCTTCACATAGAGAGAGTTCTTTCAATTTTGTTCTTAATTTTTCTTTAAATGGGTCAACAAGTTGTGGTTTTGCTTTTATCATCACAGGTCAATGAGTACCTGTACAAGTATGAAAAAAGAACGTTGTAAAATCTTCAAACAAGTGAACTCTCCCAAATTAAAATAAACAGCTTAAAAAGTAACGAAAATCTAACAAAATTCTTAAAAAGTGTTAATGTTTTCGGGTGTTTACTGTACTTTAATTGTAATTGTTTAAAAAGTAACTTTGAAAATAATCATTATTTTTGGCATTGATTACCTGTAATTAATTATAATTAATAATTGTAATTGACCCTGTAATGAATTAAAGCAGTGGTGCCCAAACACATACTACCACAGTTTTATTTGTGTTGGTAAAGCAGCAGAGAACAGAATTCAATTCAAAATAAAAGTATACGGGTAATTTCAAAGTAAATCAACCAAAAAACGCTATTTTAAATTTTTGTCCCCTTAGATTTTTTTTAATCAGAAGCATATATTCTACTCCTTAATGCGGTTTCTACGGCGTATAAATTGGATCCTTAACTCATTTGGTTCACATTTTATGGGCCTCTAAAATAGGGCATCTCGGTTATTTTTGTTCAAAATTAGAAATGTTGATGACTGAATAACTTTGGAACCAGTTATCCGAATTTAACAAATAATGTTTCGTTCGACAGGTCTTCGATCACTCGTTTTTAACATTTCATTAAAATTACATGAAGTCCTGTCGCAAGGACCATATAGTGAAAAATGTCCTTTATCCTTGAATATCTTAAAAAATGATATTTTGTTTTTCTTAATTTTTTTATGGCAAATAGATAAACTTATTGTTATTGCAATGTAAAAATTTTAGAATGGGATCCTAATGGGCTTGTCAGTTATAGGAGTTTTTATATAGCTACATTTACAATTTCCATGGGAAATGAGTACTTTTTATTCATTTTAACACATTAATAGTCTAGTAAATTAAGGTTTTAATGCCGAATAAAGTAAAGATTTTAACAAATATCGGTTCATATATACATATAACATGAACGTTTTTTTCACAGTATTTATATTGCATTTAACTATGCAGTTTATTCCGTATGAATTTTACTATATGAAAACTTGCTCCGATATCAATAAATTTTGGTTGGTTTAAAGCTTTGATCAGTTATATTATATGTACTAAGTTTCATTAATTTCGATTCATAATTACAGCAAATTTACATTAGAAGAGATCGCACTATGGGTCAGAGAGCAACTGGCGCGAAAAGTATAATTAAATAATGATATGCTGTTATTACTATTGGCTGTACATAAAGTTATCACAATTACTTTTGTAGTCCAAAATATATTGAGGTTAGAAAAACATATCTTAAATGAACGAAAAATGACTATAACTCCAAAACTGATAGGAAAAATGGCGTAAATTGGAGAATCAAATTCTGTAATGACTCCTAAATCCGTAGGATGTATGAAAAAGGAAATATTTCAAAAAAATTGATTATTTTGACCTATGACCTCCAATATTTCAATTATAGAAGACATGATTTCAGATGGTCTGTGGTAATTTTTACTTTATTCAGCATTAAAATCTTAATTTACTAGACTATTAATGTGTTAAAATGTATAAAAAGCACTCATTTCCCATGGAAATTCTAAATGTAGCTATATGAGAACTCCTATAACTTCCAAGCCCATTAGGATCCCATTCTAAAATTTTTATATAGCAATAACAATAAGTTTATCTATTTGCCATAAAAATTAAGAAAAACAAAATATCCTTTTTTAAGATATTCAAGGATAAAGGACATTTTTCACTATATGGTCCTTGCGACAGGACTTCATATAATTTTAATGAAATGTCAAAAACGAGTGATCGAAGACCTGTCGAACGAAACATTATTTGTTAAATTCGGATAACAGGTTGCAAAGTTATTCAGTCATCAACATTTCTAATTTTGAGCAAAAATATCCGAGTTGCCCTATTTTAGAGGCCCATAAAATATGAACCGAATGAGTTAAGGATCCAATTTATACGCCATAGAAACCGCAATTAAGAATAGAATGTGTGTTTCGAGTTATAAATCAAAAGGGATGAAAATTTTAAGTGGTCGAAATGTCTGTGGAATCCCGATATCGAGATCCCGGGATTTTCGGGATTTCTAATTCCCGAAAAATATAAAAAATTCAAAAAAACATTAATAATATACCGACAAAAATAACATTTTCTATTTCATATTGCAATATGAATACACTTAGTAGGTGTTTACTTTCCAATAAGCATTTTGTGAAAAGAAAACCAAATTAATTCAAAGTACTTAGAATAAAAATATTCCCATCCCAGGTACTGAATAGTAGAATAAAAACCTTCTTCTGAGCAAAAGCTTCTTATATCTTATAAATATAAAATAATACCCATGATATCCAAATTTACAATTTGTTGAAACCTAATATTTAGATAGTATGTGTAATGAGGATCCATACGAGGCTACATCCGATAGTATCTATGCCTATGTATTGCCCTTTTTATACCATACATGAGGATGGGTCTCTCCGGAGTAGGGCTTTTGTTTTATACTGTCCTTAAATACCCTGATGAATTTTGAAATGATCGGGCCTCTTTTGATCCTAGTCTCCATACAATGCACAGCTTTAAAAAAGAATTTTGTGTCCACAATTCGCTTAAAAAGAGAAGTGCCGCATAAATACATTTTATGTAATCGTAAATTCGTCCTCCAAATTTTATGATGATCGACTCATATGAAGCATATTTCAGAAAAATAGTTTTTTAACAATAAATTGCCAAAATATATCGGAGGCGAGGTTTAAATCAACTTAACCGTTATGTCAATACCCACATACCCGCGTATGTTTTTCATTTCTGAAGTGATATATCTCGAGATCTATATATCGTATCGGCTTAAAATTTGAAAATTTGAATTTTGTTAGATATATACATATTAAACCGATTTGTGACCGATTTTCTATTTTTACCTCGTGTATCAATACCCATCATACCCCGGTATGTATACAAATTATATGTCAGTTATCGGACAAAAATTAAGTTTCATTATAAATTTTATGTTTTATTATTAGAATTATATATATTCTTGTATCTTATGAAAAAATTTTAACTAAACAACAAATTTAGTTTCAAATACAGAGTCATGTGTCTTTATTCATAAATTTGAATGTGATATATTTGTGGACCCTGTAACATTAACAAATATGGGCCGATTTTGATGAAATAATTTTTTTATTGTATATGACATAGTAAAGTAAAATTATGCTAATTATAATAATTTTATTCTCATATAAACAAAAATATTTAAGTTTAAATTTAAAAATTTTAATTTTTGACCATGACTTAGCAATCTTTTTTTGCAAAAAAAGTTCTCTACTTACGAAAGCAGAAACAATTTCTTTAATGCTAATCGATTTTATACACCTTAATAAATAATATATAAAAAGTTTTGTTCAATTATCTTTCCCGGTCACTGAGTAAAAGCTTCTTGAAGTCAAAATTTTACAAAGTCAAATTCTGCATAATGTACATTATACGTTATGAAGGCGTTTTTCTTTAGGTTTTTTGCATATGATATTTTTGTTAATAGGAAAGCAATAAGAAAACTTAAAAAAATTGCTAAAATTTAATAATTTATGACTAAACTATTTAATATATATATACAGACGTTTTATTAAATTAGTTGTAACAATTATATGAATTATACACTAGAAATGTATAAAAAGATGAAATAGCCATATAAATTATATGACATACCCGGGTATGTTGGGTATTGATGTACGTAATTTTTCTCGGGTATAGACAAGACGGTTAAATGATTTATTATGAAAACTAAATCACATTTTACTCTCATAACTGGTGTTATATGGTCGGCCTCGCCCGCTTATAATTTCTTACTTGCTATTATTATATATCCGATAGTATCCATGCCAATTAATTGCCCTTTTTATTTTTGCTATTTCAGCTTGTAAGTTAGTAGAGTCATCTTAAGACCAAAAACTTTTAAAATTCTCTTATTTAACACTTTATAATATATAAAATAGCGGAAAAACACTTAAAAATTCGGGATTTTAAAATCCTGAAATTCCCCGGGATTTCATTTTTTAAAATCCCGGTTTTCGGTACTTTCAAATCCCGGGATTTTCGGAAATCAGTAATTCCCGTTTGGCATCCCTAATGTGTATCAACTTAGCGTCAGCAGAATTTTCTTACAATATCTCGCGTGCTATGAAATGGCAATCTTGAGCTCCTCTGAATTAAAGTAATAATTACAATCTTGAGCTCCTCTGAATTAAAGTAATAATTACATCCAATCCTGATTCAAAATTAATGGAAATTTGTGAATACATACTTTATTTTTTCATGTGAATTCCATTTTCATATAAAAACGGAATTCAGATTTGCATAAACTGTACTTAAATTAATACAAATATAATGTCTTGATTATATTTTATTTATTGTAGCCCATATCCGATGTAAGTTGTATGGAATCTTCAATATCAGGATTTCGAAAGGATAATTGTGACTATTTGGACAACATGGACCCTCCAAAATCTTGTAAGTACACTTTTGAATTATTTAAAAATTTTTATTATATAGTACTCATGTTACACATAAGACATTCTTTAGGAACATTGTCTTTATACAAGTTATAAGTGCGTACGGCGCACAGTGGTATTTTTTGGAAAAAAGTATGTATATTTTTCGACAGTTAATTTTTATAAATGTAATGATGCAATTCTGTAGAAGAATATTTCATTAAGGGAAAGCCATGATTTGTTTTCGGAAAGAATAATATTTTGTCAAAAATAAGTGTGTCAAAGTTACTTAAATATTCTACACCGAAAATTGAAATTTTCATGCATTTCAGTAGCATGTACAATGAATATGGTTTAATTACCAATAATTTTGTAGCGTTTTTATTAAAATATACTATTTTCAATTTAATAATAAATAAAAAATATTTAAATTAACTGTGTAGTTTCAGAGATCTGAGTAAATCTGGCATCACAGTATTGATCAGATATAAAAATCGTGGTCGGCGTAATCTTATTTACAATTTATTTTAAAACTTTTAAATATATATTTAAAATTGTAATATTTTGAACTTTAAACAAATTTTGAGGTTGTGTAATTTGGAAAACTATAGTTATTGTTTACATTTTCCCTAATATAAAAACTTTTCCTTAACATATCTTATATAACCTTAAATAGATATTGTTTTGGGTTGAAGCTATCAATTGCATTAAAAAAATAAAAAGTTAACAAAAGCTAGTAATTTAGTACTAATTAAAAATAAAGCGCTTGGATTTAATAACTGCCCCTGCAAGGAAAACTTTTTATCAGGTGGTGATGATGGGGATATCTCCCTTCGTGAAGAATTGAAAAAAGGGCTACAAGGTGTACAAGAAAAGTTTGATACTTTTTTGGTGAAAGTTAAACGAGAGTTAAACAATCAGCTCAACGAATTAAAAGCTAACGTCAACAAATGCAATCAAATGATTTCAAACCTGGGTATTACAACTACAAATAAATTTACTAATATTGAAAATCAGTGTAAAATACATCAAAATACGATTGAAATGGTGAAGAATCAAAACGATATACTCCAGAAAAGCTTAAATCGATGTGACATCATTATAAACGGTTTACTCAAAAATCAACCCAATGTAATAAATGCAGTTCAAAACATCTTTAAACAATTGAACGTCAATTTAATTGAAAGTGACATTAATTTTTGTTTCTTCATTAATAATGGGAATTCTATGTTGGTAAAATTAAACTCCATGTTCAAAAGAGATGCCATCATGATCAACTACTTTAAAACCAGAACTTTAAAACTTTCGGAGGTTATTGATACAAACATCCAAAAGAGAATCTTTTTGAACGATCATTTGACACCACTAGCCGGAAAACTTTGTTATACCTGTCGTAAACTGCGTAAGCAAAATAGCGAGACGGCTACCAACGCTCTGATGGCTAAAATTAACACAGGTAAGATATATATAGCTTTAATCCAGGAATCTTGGACGCAACAAGGTTTCTGGATTAAATCACCTAAATTTCCAACTTTTCTACGCTGATACAGGGTCTCGACCGAAAACATGTATCTTATGTCAGAAGAAGTTATGTTTTCTCCTCTCTACAGGATTATCCACATCGGATGCAACGGTGCTGAAGCAAGGTCGTGGCAACATATACCTTGCATATGTTTACCTGCCTTTCGATTCTCCAACACTACCACCAACGTCAAAGCTGAGGAAACTGGTCGAAGAGGCACAAAGGAAAAATAAGAAAATTGTAATAGGTTGTGATGCCAACTCCCACCATGTAGCTTGGGGTAGTACAAACACCAATCGCAGGGGACAAGCCCTTATGGATTTCCTTAATACTAAAGACTTGATCACATCAAACTTAGGTAATAAAGCTACCTTCGTCAATAGAATCAGAGAAGAAGTATAAGATATAACTATATGTTAGGAAGAGCTTATAAACGAAATTCAGGATTGGAGAGTTTCGGACGAGCATTCCTTTTCTGACCATTGTTACATATGATTCAAAATACTACGGCCGCCACCAAAGCCGATAAAGTTTCGGAATAAGTCTAAAACTAATTGGACAATGTTCGGTTCCTTACTAAAGAACCGTTTATGTCAGGACACTTTTCCATGTCGAAATAAAGCGGACATAGACGCCAAAGTAGAAATGCATACCAGTGCCTTGGTTGAATCGTTCGAGGACACGAGGGGAGATCCGGAACCTTGGTAAGACTCTTCGCAAATTATTTAACCGGGCACGGCGTAAAAAGACAGCAGTATACTGGGATGAGTATCGTAGTAAATGATGTATCGAAGATATAAAAAATTCCTATCCAAAACTCATGTTCAACCAGAATCTATGGTCGATGATACGGGCAGGAGGCTGGTGGATATGGAGGAGACAATGAAACTCCTAATGGACTCTCATTTTCCACCCGGTATATCGAATAACATAGATGAACCGATATTGCAGGAAGGGGGGGGGGCTAACACGGAAATTGTAATTACATCTGATATGGTTAAAGGGGCAATCAAGAGCTTTGGTCCCTTTAAAGCTGCAGGGCCGGATGGCATTTTCCTGGCACTCTTACAGATGGAGGCGGGACTGGTTTCCGTACATCTGTCTCAGATATTCACTGCATGCTTGAAATTCACATATACTCCCATTAAATGGCAGGATGCAAGGCTATTCGACACATAAGTCTTATCGACCGATAAGTCTTACGTCCTTCCTACTTAAAACCTTGGAACGGATAGTTGATATTATGGTTAAAAGCAGTATACCCGAAATTTATGCTTATGTAAAGGGACGATCGGTGGAAACCGCTTTAAAAGAAGTTGTCCACTGCATAGGTGCATCCTTTGATAGCAAACTATATACACTGGCGGTATGCATTGACATCGAAGGCGCCTTCAATAACGTGCACCCTGAAACTCTTATCCAATCCCTAGACCAGTTTTATGTTGACCGGGTGCTCCGTAATTGGACATGCTAAGGAACAGATGGATAAGCTGCGAGATGTACGATATATGATTTCAGCCAAGAGACAGCAATAATGCTCTATTTTTAAATGATTACTAAAATGTAAAAAAATATTTTTCAGTATGCTGTTATCATTTACAAGCGTATATAAATATATATTTTCTAAGTCTAAATTCATCTATCATGGACATTATTGCTATCTCTGAAACTTGGCTGAAATCATATATATCGGATGGATCTATTTGTATCCCAAATTATAATGTAATTTGAAATGATAGACATAACAATATGAGGGGTGGTGGCACAGCAATATATCGAGGGAGTATATTCAATAGTCTCTATCTAAAATAATACAAGTTTTCAGGAGAGCAATAAAACTGTTTATTTTGCTAGTTCCTGAAGATTTTTGAATTTTTTCTTCTACAATACATTTTTACGACCATATTCTAAAACGTTATATAAAAAGAATTTAAAATTTTGCATAATTTGCAAAATTATTCACAAATTTTATCAGATAAAGCTTTTTTTTCTACAATTTTTTTTTACAACCTTCAGATATAGAGTTTTTCATAGAAGCATAAATTTTTTATTTGATTTAATATAATAGCAATAAATATTATAATTTATGTAATATAATGAAGTAATAAAAACCAAATTGTTGAAAAAGTAACACATTATAAGGTTTTGGTCCAAAATCAATGTTATATGGTTAAACACGGCAATCAAATTTATCAAATAAGTATCATAATGAGCGAAAATAATAGAGTTTGAAGCAATTTTTGGATAAGATGGAGAGTTTTGCATTCAGAATTTTTCTTTTTTTAAGATAGAGAAATTTAAAAATTGCTATAAAATTGCAAAAAAAAAAAAATTTGTTTTATTTGAAATGTATTTCACTGATGCGGGATATTTTGCTGGATATTTTGCCTTCAAAATCTTATTTTCATGAAAATGACTGGTGGAGACTATTGAATATAGTCCCTCGATATGTAAAAGTTTGTTTGCGTGTGAGGGAAATATTACAAAATTCAGATCCAAACTATTTTGAAAGGCTTTTTGTGGAGGTAAGATGTGGGTATAGAGGTGTTCTGGTGGGCGTTGTTTATTCACCACATGGAAATTTTGATGGTTTAGAAGGTACTTTGAGTGATTTTTGTAGTAGATATGGAACTTCTGTTATTTTGGGTGAATTTAATAATAACCCTTTTTGTCCTTCAAGGGCAAATCTAGTTAGAGAAATTTTTCAATGTACGAATTATACGAACAATCAATTACGAATATTTTACAATTTGATAAATACTAAGGTGAAAAAAATTGAGGATGACATTAATTTCTGTAATTTTAAGGATGTTAATGATGCTAGAAATATGAGGGTAGAAATATATTGGGTATACAAAGAGAATTCGGATTCTAGATCTTGGAAGACTTACTGTATATATAGAAACAGTATGAAGAAAATTATGAGAAGATATAATGCTGAATACTGGTATTCAAGATTTGATAGTTGTGATAATAGAGGAATGTGGAAGATTCTTAATAGTAGGATTGGTGGGAAAGATTTCAATCCTTTGGATTACCATGATCCTGATACCTTTAATAATTACTTTGTATAACAGTCTGAGAACATTGATTTTGCTTCATTTTCGAACACAGGATTCACTTTTAGATGTATTGAAAGAGTTGACCTTCAATACCATTTTTCTATTGTAAAATCTAATTCACTAGGTCCTGATAATATTCCCTTAAAATGTTTGAAGAATGTTATCTTATGCATGTCTGCAACACAATTTTAATCACCTCAATGTATCCTAATTAGTGTTTATAATAAACCGATTTTTGGAAAAACCGGTTTTTCGGTTAACCTTAAATTGACCATTTCTAGAAAACCGGTTTGTCGGTTAACTGAGTATAAAAAACCGGTTAAACCGGTTAACCGAAATGTTTGGAAATCTTTAAAATATTATAATACTAGCTTTACCCAGTGTGCTTTGCTACCCTAAAAGCAGTATAAATAAAAAACCCACTTAACGATTTTG